GAGGTCTGCAGACCAGGACTCAAGATGCTGAGGGTTGGGTTTCTTTCTGAGCTGAAAAAAAGAAAAACTAGAAATGCTGTAAATTGCTGTAAAATTTCTGTTAAAAGGATTGCTGTAGTGAGAGTGAGAGTGGACATCAAAGAAAGAAAAATAGATAAACCGGTTAGAAGACCATTGTAGTAGTCTGAGTCGTGAACAAATCTTAGGTCCACAGTTGGTCCAAGGGCAAGAGGCTGCAAAATCTATGGAGAGACACAGATGGTTAGTTTTGCCTAGAGAGGAGATGGAATGGATGGAAGGAAAGCAAACAGAATTGGAAGATGACCCTACAGGACAGTTTGGAGAGGTCCTTGCTCATGGAGAACACTCTCTTTCATTTCAGAGGATCCTGAGAGAACCAAGTTCTTGGTGAGCCAATGCATTGTAACAGTAATGGTGGATTCTGTGATTAAGTCCATTTGGACCTAGTAACAGTCTCCTAGTACCTCAGTTTCTTGATCTATAAGTTATGCACAACAATGCCTTTCTCATAGGAATGTTGTATTTAATGAGCTAATAAGTAGAAACATTTACAATAACCTGGCACATGATAGTTTCAGTATATAGTTTATCCTTACCGGAATGCTGGGGTCTAGAGCCAGTCTGGAAGCAAACTGCCTGGTTCTTCTAACTAGCTTGGCAACTTTAGGCAAGTTGCTAAACTTGACTTTGGCCTGTTATTTCATCTGCAAAATGGGGATAGTTGTAGCCCCTATTGCAGGATTGTATACTATAAGGTTGATAAGGGCAAAGTACCTGTATAAGCATACTTAGTAAGTGTTTGCTAATGTTAGCATTTCTTTAGTCTTAACATTCAGGCCTCAGAATGCCCATTCAGCTCTTTTGCATCATTAACAATAGTCCTGTGATCTGCTTCTAAAGCATGACATTGAACCCCTGTTCACACATGCTCTCCTGCGAGGTCCCTGAGGTCCCGAGGGAACCTTTTGTTTGTTTCTAAATCTCCAGCGCTGGGGATGGAACTCAGAGCCTTATACCAGATAGACAAGAGCTTTACCAATTAGCTCCAACCCTAATATTGTATTTTAGTGAGCTTTAAAATAACACTATTGATGGAGATTGGGGTGGGAGGGGAAAGGACTAGGAGGGGAAGATGCATGGAGGCTGAGGCCAGGATGTAAAATAAATAGATAAAAATACTTCTAGGCTGGGGATAAGCTCAGTGGTAGAAGTCTTCTCTAGCATGCACAAGCCCCTGGGTTCGATCTCCAGTACTGGAAATAAAACAAACTGTTGAAAACAGCAAGGGCTGTTTATACAATGTGGCAGTCTGAGATGCTCAGTGGAACTTTCTCAAGAGGAATTACCTTCTAATGTGTAGTTCAAGCCTTTAAAATTTTTTCCTTTATTAAGTGACTGAGAACACATTTTGTTGTGAAACTGGTTTTTCTAACATTTTAGCCTCTATATTTGGATTTATTTTGGTTGTCTTCATTAGAAAACAACAATGGTTCAGACAGCATAAAATTATTATTTTTCATGTGTGAAACTTGGCTGGCCCTATGTAGACTTGTTCCTACAAGATGGTTCTATGTTCTATGTTCTAAAACACATTTTTAGGTGTGTTTTGTTCTGTAGTCCTTAAGCCGTGTATCTGTCTCTCCCTCTTTCTCTCTGCTTTCCCCAGCTAAAATAGCTAAATGAGCATATTCTCATAGAATAACTTACAGAACAGACTCAAATGCAAATTAGCTTCTGTTCACTCAAACCATTTGTATCAAAATAATTGTCCATTTTATGAATATTTTCATATTAGTGTCTTAAAAACCATATCCCATACTATTATTTCCATTTTCTCGCTAAGTAAAATTAGTGTTAGCATTGAAATATTTTAGTGAAAAAATTATAGAAGCTTAGAAATGAAGTAAATAAGTATGCACTTCTAGGCCAGATGAATGTTAGATGTGTTAAAATGTATATCTTTTCACCAGCTATTAGATCTAGATCTATTTCACATTGACATTTTTATACAAGTAGTATTAAAATTAAAGAACACTTTTTTAAAAGTAGGAGAAAATGTCTGGTGTGGAGTTTATTATAGATACCAAGTTGAGTCTCCATTTGCCCTAGAACCTCAGAAGTGTCTCTTAAGATAGAAGCAGACTTACAGAAGGGGATCTAGCCTAGTTAATTTCCTTTTCCCTTAGGAGGGAAATGTTTCAAAGGCTAGCATATTTTTACAAAAAAGACAGCAGTAACCTACCCAGACAAGGTCAGCAAGTTGACTACAGGAAAGAAATGCTGACAAAGCTTAACACCAAGAGTCTGTGCAGATGTAAACTTTGCTTGATACTCAGAATATCTGAAAACATTCTATTTGAAGTTTTTTTTTTTTTAGCTATCTTGACTTTTTAAAAGCACTTTTAATATCGTAGAACACAATACTATTATCATGTTTGAATTCTTGCCTTGGACTCTACAAGATGCTAGCATAGAGATTTAAGTAGTCTATTTTAAATATTTACTAAATTGTTGAGAATACAAAGGTTCTTGACCCACAGACAGCACTAGGAAAACCAGGGATATTCAATACACAGGTTGTCTTCTCAAAGGATAACCTGCTTTCTGCCCAGAAGGCTGGGAATGGAGGTGGTTAATAAACTAGGTAACTCCAACTCCTGTGTTATCTGTAGGGCCAGGTGATACAGATGTGCACCCACAAATTACTTCAGTGACTTATTGTCTGAAAATTTATTTCATCTTCAAAAATTTTAGAACATATTGTTTTGATGTATATACAGGTATGTGAGCCTTCCAAATGGAGCTGTGACCTCTGGCATAAAGAATGCTAACTGACCCATAGGAATGCAGCTGGAGCTGGGGGAGTTAATCTTACCCACTCTCCCTTTAGCTACTAACAGAATTCTTCCCTTGAGGATTAGGGGACCAATGGCTCCGTGGGACTGGTTGTAATGGCAAATACCTTGTCTCAGCACTCAGGAGTAGGTGGAGACAGGAGAATCAGGGGCTTGGAGATGAGCCTTCATAGTAAGACACTGTCTCAATTGAAACAAAAAATTTTAAATTTATTGGAAATTGGGAGCCCGGGGTGATCACTGATTCAGTATATTAATGTCAGCTTTGGGGGTACAGAGAGCAGGATGAGAGTTGTTTTGGAGTGGTCCAAGAGAAGACTCATATATCCTATATTTTTACTAGTGCATAACTAATAGGCCTTTTAATAAGACAGATTTGGTGGGGCTTGGAGAGTTGAAAGAAAGGGTGTGGACTGGGCACCAAATGTTATTATATATGTGTGTGTATATACATAATATGTGTATTTTTATATATGTATATACACATAGTATATATGAAGCTAAAGCATGTGTACACAAGTACCAAATGAGGGACCATGAAAAATAATGACTCAGCAAAAATATGATGGTGATAGATGGTGCTGTTTATGTAGAACTTCAAAAGGAGTATTTTTATGTGAAAGTAGAAGAATGATAACCTAGGAAACATATGGAGTTGATGAAAGCATATGGGCCCTACACAACCCAGGGAACAGGAGAGTAAAAGCACGCACTTGAGAGGTCACAGAAATCGTGTCTCTGTGGGAACAAGGCACCAGTGAGCATGTATGCCCACTAAGAATAAAGGACACCAACCATGGCTTGCTTCTACCTGCTGCTGTTTCCGGGGGCAAACATAGAGGGTTTGGGAGAATCTAGGAAGGAGCAAGAAGCACCGAATGCAGTGGGAACTAATGTATTTCTCTTAACAGCACTCAGTCAGTAGTGGCACTACCCTCTTCTGAGGACATTAGGAAAGATGATCAGTATTTTTAAGTTCTACGGTGACCGAGGATAGTGTTAGCATTTGAAATCACCCCCAGGCTCAAGACCTTGCTGTACACTTGTCACCACTAAAAAGGCCACTAACACCTCTCTTGCTGTGATGCAGAGGATTTACCTTTTACATAAAGGACAACTGCAGAAGCATGATACAGTGGTTTTTATCTGGTCTCAGAGCCAAAGGAGTGCCGATTATACCCATAAGTTGCGGTGCCCACATGGGAAAGTGCTGGCTGCTTTGCCTGGGGACTGTGGGTAGACAGACTTGAGATAGCTCCAGAGGATCAGAGCTTCCTGCTAATGGAATTTCTTTCTTAATTAAGATAATGTTATTGCTATTACTATTATGTGAGCATTACTGTTGTCAACTTGAGAGGTTCATCTAGGAGACAAGCTCCTAGGCATGCTGGGTGAGAGTGCTTAGATCACATCAGCCCCTGGGCACTGATGAGGGATTGTCTTCATTAGGTTAGTGTGGTGGGAAGGCTTGGGTGCCGGACTGTTTAGAATCCAGGAATCTAGTTTAGCATTAATTTTCTGCTCTCTGGGTGCTAGTATGATGCTACCAGCTTCCTCAAGCTCTAGCTCCTGAATTCTGGGCTCGCATACCCCCAGCCCTTACACCTAACACCCTACTACTAGCATCCCACCTCTAAACTAACTCCCCACCCCTAACTCCCACCCCCACTGACTTTACTCTTAAAATATGTACCAAAATAAACCCTTTCTCCTATAAGTTCCTATTGTTGGGGTATTTTATCTCAACCATCTCACATTATAAATAGGATTAAAGAATAGGACTAAATTACAGTGACTACCATTCAGCACCCAGAGTGAGAAGTAGACAATGATACATACACTCTGAAATTTTCTTAGAAACATTTCTAACACTTACTCCATATTGGGAACATGGGTGAATCTGTGAATTTTCAAATGAGAAGGATTTGAAACCACTGCCTTTTAAATATTTAAATACAGAAAGCAGTGGGTTTTCTGTCACTCATGCTGGGTAACTGATAGCTCAATACCCAGAACCTGGGTTTTATTTGTTTTGTTTTATTTTATTTTATTTTTTGGAACCTGGGTTTTAAAGGTAATCTCGGCCATTAGAAACACCAGCTTTGAACACAGACCACCATGAGTAAAGTGAGAAACTTGGGTGCTTTATTCAGAAACAATTTCTAAGGAAAGGAGGTTTCCATGATGCAGCTTTCAGGCTAGAGGAACGACTTCATCATCTTATGTGTGATGTGGTTATCAGGGACCTTGAGATCTTCGTATGTTATTAGTGGAGTCTCCTTTTCTTGAAAATGAATGGGCATCTTCTTACCTTCCACACTCATGAGCTTCAGAGCCAGGGGGCCCAACTTTACATAATCCTGCCATGAAGACACAAGAGGAGAGGTAAGTGGCAAGTGAGCCTGACAAATGACATATTCTTTCCCTGGGTTGCTCTACTGAGGTGTGAATGCTGTATCAAACATGGAATATGAAAGCCACTGCAAAAATTTTAAAATGTACCTCTTAAGTTTACATTCCCCATGAATCACAGTAGAAAGATCTTCCAGTAAGCAGGAGGGGAGGCTGGAGGTCTCAAAGGGAGTTGGGGTGGGTTAGAGGCTGGCTAGTGGAAATGTGTCCCCTGTTGGCTACTTTGTTGGTGAAGGAATATTAGGCATATATATATAGTCCTCCACTAGCCAGGTCACAGCCTTGGCAGAATTCTGTATTATTCTAAAATGGGGGCTGGGGACGGTGATATTCTACAAGTGCAATTTGGACAAGATAATGTAACACTGAGGAACTTGTCCAGGAATACGAATCTTTTCACATGTGCTTTGGCTAGTGTTTAGGTCAAACTTACCCCATCATGCATTGATGAAAAGAACTGGAAAGGTACTTAATAGAAAACCTTCTAGCCTGTCCCAAGCAACTCAGGCTCTACCTGGGAAGACTCCTAAGCCATACTTCACATGTGTTCCTTCCACACACATGTCAGCAAATCTTTCTAGAATGCTCTCTGTGCCCATGGAGCCCTGGGGTGCATGATAGACACAGGACTGGTGAGTGACAGCATAAATAGTGTAGCTCCTCATACATGGTAATTGTTGATCTTTTTTTTTCTGCAATCCCATAAACAGTTGCATTTTAGAGCCTTTATGTCCCCATTCTCTTGAAATTCCCAAGCATAAGAGGTACCTGACACATTGAGGGATGTTCAGTATTTATGTGAACCCTGGACTGCTTTGTTGGTAAAAGAGGAGGCAATGATGGGGGATGTTCTTCTGTATATACATTTCTCTTATTGTTTAATGAATAAAACACTGATTGATTGATTGGCCAGACAAGAAGTGACGTTGCTGGGCAGAAACTTGCCATTAGCTAACCATAGAGGTCTGGAGGTCTGTACAGATAGACAGGAAGTGATGTAGCTGGGCAGAATCAGGATATATGCGGGGACAAACAGGAAATCACTTTCTTCTCTGTGGAGACACTTAGCAGTCACCATGTAGTGGAGGAAGGAGTAACAGGTCTGTACCCTTCTCTGGTAAGATAAGACTAAGTGGAAATACTTAGATTAATAGAAGTTTAGACAGAGCTAGCCAAAAAGAAGCCCCAGTCATCGGCCAACAGATATATAATTAATATAGCATCTGTGTGTTTATTTGGGGCTGATGCGGGTGTAGGACCAGGCTGGTGGGAAGAACCATCCACAACAAGGTAATGTTTTCAAAATGCTTGTCATTGTATGTAGTTTTCAAACTGCAACAAAATTGATGGATAGCTACCCGTTCTATGCCATGGCCACCACAGCCCCTCTGTCACAACTCACAAGAATACATTTCATCAACCCAGGGGCAGTCAGCCTGGAGTCTGTTGTCCACAATTCCCAGGCATCAGCAAGACATACCAGAAGTCAGGATTCCAGGATATGAGTGGTGGTGCTTGAGCATTTAAATGGGAAACACACTAGAACATCCATCCTTTAAAATCCCTTTTCAGTTCTGGGACTCAAACCAAGAACCTCTGCTTGCATAGCAAGCAGGCTACTTCTGAGCCATATTGTCACCACTGATATTTTAGTCTTTAAATGGTCACTTGAGGGGATATGGCTCAGTGGTGGAGTGCTTGTCTAGCATGTGAGAGGCCTTGGATTCAGTCCTCAATATTACAAAAAAGGAATAGGGTACAGCTGAAGTTGTTTTTTTACCCATATTTGACTGACTCTCAAACCTACCAGAATCAGAATTCAGTAAAACTTTTTTAAAAAGTTATGGACATTCCCATCACTCGGGAGGCAAAGGTTGGCAGATAGCTATGAGTTAGAGGCCAGTGTGGCAGGAAATCTCTCAAATTTGAAACTAGCCTGGGCTACACAGGGATACTGTCTTAACAAATGATCATTTGATGGTAGTTGAAATAAACCATTAGTTAATATGGTCACTTTTTTCCACTTCTTCTGCTCTTTTTCTACCCTTTATCCTCCTACCAGACTTATGATTTTATAACTTTTAAGGTTTTGGCAGTGCCAGAAAGGGAAAAAGTAGAAATGTACAAATGAGAGTTTTCTAAATTATAGGTTTGTTACTCCAGGCATCCACTAGATGTATATATTTTACAAAGATGGCCTCATATATATCCTATCCTATCCCACAGATTTGTTGGAGTCTTTTTTTTTTCCTTTGGTTTTTTGAGACAGGGTTTCTCTGTGTAGCTTTGGAGCCTATCCTGGCACTCTCTCTGGAGACTAGGCTGGCCTCTAACTCAGAAATCCACCTGGCTCTGTCTCCCGAGTGCTGGGATTAAAGGCGTGTGCCACCAATGCCCTGCAAGTTTTTTGTTTTTGCTTTTACACAATCTTCGATCAAGATGTAGGAACTAACTATATTCATTCCACTTGAGGACATCAATCAATCAAGTGTGATGGAAGTGATAGCATATGGCCTCCAAGCATTAGAGTTGTTCTCTTTGTCACTGGGATTGCTTTCCCTAAGAAGTCAGACACAGTACTTTAGCAGAGGGACTTGCAAGGCACCCTTTGGAGAGGCTCATATGAAGAGAAACAGGCCCTGATGCAATCACCATCATCTTGCTTGACATAAGTGTGTCCCCATGTTGAGGTGGGCCTTCTGCCCCAGTCCAGGCTTCAGATGAGCATGGCCCTAGCTAGCGCACAGTTATGTGAGAATTGAGAACCCAATGGAGCCATTGTCCAATTCCCAGCTAACGGAGGCCTGGAAGGGAACAGAAAGTGTTGTTTTAGCCAGGCAGTGATGGTGCACACCTTTATCCCAGCACTCAGGAGAGGCAGGTGGATCTCTGAGTTCAAGGCCAGCCTTTGTCTACCAAGTGAATTCCAGGACAGCCAGAGCAACACAGAGAAACCCTGTCTTGAAATACAGCCTCCCATCACAAAGTATTGTTTTAAACTGTTAGGCTTAGGGATAGTTTATTATGGAACATCAGCTAACTTAACACTTTCTCTTGGTAGTGGAGGTCTATAAATGAATGTTTTAACTAACTGGCTCAAAGTAGGAATAAAAAGAGGATCCCAGGAGAGGTCAATGGTGGGTCACTTGTACTAAGAATCACAAAGCAAATTTTCAGTATTTACATTTTAGGTCTCCTTCTGCCAGCATTGTAGTCATTGACATTCTAGTCAAACCTGTGTTCTTGTAACTCTCACCTTGAAATCCTGTTCATCCTCATGAAGTAAATAATGGATAACAGAGCCCTTGATCTCTATGGAGGAGCTGTCCCCTCTGTCTGTCTGTTCCAACTGGACCTCCGGAATGCTAGCCTCCTTGCTGCTCCCCGGTAAAAGGCTTGCTTCATCTCTAGCTTCAGTGGGTGATTTCAAATTCTCCTCTGAGTCTGAAGCAAAGAAATAATTAGGTAACATTTTGAGCAGATTACAAATACAATGCCATCACTTTGGTCACTTTTATTTTTTTTTATTTGAAAGAACTCTGAACTTAGAAATGTAAAACTTAGGGCTAAAGGAATGCCTTAGCTTAATCAATACCATGATAACCAAGCATCCATGAGGCCCTACGTTCAATCCTTAGTGCTGCCACCACCAAACCCAGAATGTTTTTTTGAGAAGATGGCATGGAATTTATGGAATAAATTAATAAATAAAGTAACAAAAGAGAAGTAATATAAATTACATAAAAGCAAGAGGTGGCCCCATTTTAGGAAACTTTCCTATATCCTGAGAGCTAAGACATTAACCATAGTCTCTTGGGAACTAATGGGTATTCTGGCATTTTGCTTGGTTAAAGTGGTACCCAAACCATATCAGTAATGGTAACACCCCACCCCGCTCTATGAGTATCTAATTAATTCATTATAAAATGCATTTAATTTTATAGAAAATGGGATTAAAACTCGGGCACAGCAGCCTGTGCCTGTAATGGCAGCCCTTGGAAGGCCGAAGCAGGAGGATCCTTTAGAAAGATGAAAGAGTGTGGGAGAAAAGGGAAGGGGGGGAGAAATGACAGAGGGAGGAAGGGAGGGAGGGAAGCAGTGGGAAAGGGAGGAAGGGAATAGAGAAAGGAGAGAGCTGGCAGACATAGACTAGAGGGATGGGGAAGGAGGGATGGTGTGGAGCAGAGGTGGATCCACTCCAGGCAGAGCTGCTCATGCGTGGTGCAGAGCTCAGGCATGTGGGGTGTCTGCCCATAAAAGCTGTTCAGGCTGCTGTGTTCTAAGGTGAGGAAAACCTCATCACAAGGAAACTGTACCTTTGTCTAGCTCTGGCAACTTCAAAGATGCAACATCTTCAGGTAGCTCTTGCTGCCCAGCAGCTTGAGTACTATACAGTTTCCTAAAAGAACAAATAGCAGACTGTCAGCCAATGAATACAGTCCTACAAGCTCACTAGCCTCTATTTCCCTCCAGAGTGTGGAGACAAAGCAGAAACGAGACCTGTTTCACATGCTTTAGGAGCACAAGGCTTGTTGAAATGATAACTGACTACAGTATTGTAAGGTGATATTTCAGCAAATGTGTAATGAGTCATGTGAGAGTTACGGGAGTCAGAAAGAGGCACCCCTTGAGTTAGCCTTGGAAACAAGGACGGTTTCCTGAGGAAATGAAATCTGAATGGAATCTTATAGAAACAGAAGTTCGACTTGGGAATAGTATAAAGGGAGGGGAAGTCCCAGACGGGGAGAGTGAGAATGATACCAATCAGGCAACTGGATTTTCAGGAAAAAAGTCAGTAAGAAATGCTGGGGGGTGGGGGGTGGGGGGGGGGGTGTGTGGGGCGGGGGGGGGGTGGGGTTGGCGGGGGAGGGTCATGGCTCAGGTAGGAGGTAGGGTTAGCTGGGGAGGGTCATGGCTCAGGTAGGAGGTAGGGTTAGCTGGGGAGGGTCATGGCTCAGGTAGGAGGCAGGGTTAGCTGGGGAGGGTCATGGCTCAGGGAGGAGGTAGGGCAAAGGCAGGGAGGGCCAGGGTTCAGGGGGAGGTGGGGTCAGCGGGG